CCCAGGTGGCACCGGCTGGCGCTGAGTGTGCACAAGCACTCGGTGACACTGATCCTGGACTGTAAGAAGAAGGTGACGCGGCCGCTGCCCCGGGGCCCCCGCCCGGTGATCGACACCCGCGGCATCACTGTCTTTGGCACCCGCATCCTCGACGAGGAGGTCTTCCAGGTACCGGCCCAGCCCATCCTGCGTCCCCCTGCCCACGGGGACCCCGCCTGACCCCCATGTCTCCCCTAAGACTGGCTGGGTGTGAGGAATGGGGGCAGTGCCTGGGGGTGGTTTGGGGGAAAATTGGGGGTTATTTCTGGGTGGGGTCACAATGGGGAAGCAGGATAGTATCAGGGTAACTCCTCTCCTTCCACCCCTCCATCCCCGCCCTCCCTCCCTGTACACACCCCTCCATCTATCCCCCAATCCATTCATCCCTCCATCCATCTATGCCCCCAATCCACCCCCAATCCATCCCTTCATCCCCACCCTCCCTCCCTCGCTCCCTCCCTCCATCCCCATGCACAGCTGTCCATCCACCCAATCCTCCATCCATCCATCCATCCATCCATCCATCCATCCATCCATCACTCTGTCCCCCAATCCATCCCTCCATCCCCACCTCCCTCCCTCCATCCATCCCCACACACCTGTTCATCCACCCGATCCTCCATCCATCCATCCCTGCACACACCCATCCATCCCTCTATCCCCCCATCCATCCCTCCATCCCCATCTCCCTCCACCCATCCATCCCCAAACACACCTGTCCATCCACCCAATCCTCCATCCATCCCCAATCCATCCATGATCCATCCCTTCATCCCCTCCCTGCAGCCCCCCATCCCTCTGTCCCCCGCAACCCATCCATGACCCATCCCCTCCCACCCCTCCATCCAACCCCTATCCCTCCCTCTCTGGCCCCTTTCCCCATTAGTGGCAGATGGGGACTCCAGGCCCAGCAGTGCCTGTCCCCCCATCACCCCGTCTCTCTCTGCAGGGTGACATCCAGCAGCTGCTCATCGCCCCGAACCCGCAGGCGGCCTATGACTACTGCGAGCACTACAGCCCCGACTGCCACGCCCAGCCCCATGCACCCCAGGCACAGGAGGCGCAGCAGAGACCTGCCAGGCCCGAGGTGAGGGATGTGGGGCAGACCGAGCAGGTCAGGCCTTTGGGTCTCATCTCAGGGAGGATACGGGGCTGGACGGGCCTAGCGGGCTGATCTCGGGGGGGATACGCGGCTGGATGGGCCCGGGGGGCTGATCTCATGGAAGATACGGGGCTGGTCGGGCCCGTGGGGCTGATCTCATGGGAGATATGGGGCTGGACAGCCCATGGGTCTGATCTGGGGGGGGTTACGGGGCTGGACGGGCCGGGGGGCTGATCTCATGGGAGATAGGGGGCTGGTCGGGCCCGTGGGGCTGATCTGGGGGTATTAGGGTTGCCAGGTGCCCAGTATTCGATTGGAATGCCCAGTTGAAAAGGGACCCTGGCGGCTCCGGTCAGCACCACCGACTGATCCGTGAAAGGTTCGGTCAGCGGCGCAGCAGGGCTAAGGCAGGCTCCCTGCCTGCCGTGGCTCCGCACAGCTCCCGGAAGCTGCGGCATGTCCCCCCTCCGGCTCCTATGCGTAGGGGTGGCCAGGGGGCTCCGCACGCTGCCCCCGCCCCAAGCACCGCCCCACAGCTCCCATTGACCGGGAACTGTGGCCAATGGGAGCTGCGGGGGCTGCGCCTGTGGACGGGGCAGCGTGCAGAGCCACCTGGCCATGCCTCCGCGTAGGAGCCGGAGCGGGGACATGCCGCTGCTTCCGGGAGCTGCTTGAGGTAAGCGCCGCCTGGGGCCTCCACCCCTGACCCCCTCCCCAGCACCCCAACCCCCTGCCCCAGCCCTGATCCCCCTCCCGCCCTCCAAACCCCTCAGTCCCAGCCCGGAGCACCCTCCTGCACCCCAAACCCCTTATACCTGGCCCCACCCCAGAACCCACACCCCCAGCCGGAGCCCTCAACCCCTCTCCCATCCCAACCCCCTGCTTCAGCCCAGAGCCCTGTCCCGCACCATGAACGCCTCATCCCTCGCCCCACCCCAGAACCCACACCCCCAGCCGGAGCCCTCACCCCCTCCCACACCCCAACCCCCTGAGCCGGCCCGGTGAAAATGAGCGAGTGAGTGAGGGTGGGAAGAGTGGGTGACAGAGGGAGGGGGGATGGAGTGAGCGGTGGTCGGGGCCTCAGAGAAGGGGCAGGGGGCGGGGTAAGGGTGTTCGGTTTTGTGCGAGTAGAAAGTTGGCAAGCCAAGGGGGGATACAGGGCTGGGTGGGTCCGTGGGTCTGATCTAGGGGGGATACGGGACTGGTCGAGCCCATGGGGCTGATCTGGGGGGGATATGGGGCTGGTTGGGCCTGTGGGGCTGATGTGGGGGGGATACGGGACTGGTCGAGCCCATGGGACTGTCTGGGGGGCATTA